GCCTATTTTGTGAGTGACAGAATATCCCTCCTCCAAATGGTCTGGCTTCGGTTATCTTCAAGTAACAGCACCTTTAAAGTACCCTCGAGCAAGCCACTGTTTCCCAACCACCTCCTCAAGATCTGGTGTGTTGTAGTAGAGTTTAGCACCTGTGCTTGAGCAGGTTTTTATACAAGTTTTGGCAAAAAGAAAAAGAAAAATTGCCACATCCTTTTTTGAGCCTGTTGCTGAGATTAGAGTGTTTGTTTCTTTTTCTGTTAGCTTAAAATGCAACACCATGGCCACAAAACCACTGGCTGCGGTACAATGGAAGTGTTTACCTTGGTCTCTGCATGTGCACACTATGCACATAAACATTGTGTGTCTGATAAGAGAGGATTACTGTGTTGTTGATGCCTGGCTCAGTGAGCATGCTCTGACTTTATGCAGTCTGCAGTGTATAAACACAGATTAAAAGTGTGGTGTGTGTGTGTGTGTGTCATCTTAAGAAAGGTTTGACATAACTTCTACATAGTCTTAGGTCAGCATACAGCTTTACATTAAAGGTTTTATATGCGATTTTTTTGATCCAGCAGATGTCGCCCTTGAGCACCAGCATGAAACCAAAACAACTCGCGCTGCATTGTTGTGTTAGCATGCTAATGCTAGCGATCTTTATTATGCTGGTATCTTCACACTGCATGTAAATTTATCTGAAATGAGCGTGATCTAGAAACACAGTTAAGCAGTGAGTACAGTATGTTATTCTTCTTTTCTCTAGTCCCTCAATTAAACAACTTTTATACACGAGGGGAGGAGTCAGCCGACCGTCCTGGCGATGTAAACAAAGTGAAGATAGGACTCTGAAAACTCTGAAAACATCACAGACAGTGGGACTCGGGTGTTACACCCATTGTAGACAGTCATGACTCACAGAGTTATTTTCAGAGGATATACTTGATTTCTATTACATTTAAGTGTGAAAAATCACATAGAAAGACTTTAATAAAAAAAGATGTATCATGATTTTTTGTTAACATTGTAAATACTCCTTCCTCCCGTTAGCTCCCAGATGGCTCCTGGTTATGCAGTTGCAGTGATGGGGATAGACTTCACCCTACGCTATTTCTATAAAGTCCTGCTGGACCTGTTGCCCATCTGCAACCAGGACAAGGGCAACAAGATCAGGTAAGAAAAGGGATGCTAGGCTGACCTGTTTGTCCCTTTTTCTCTCTCATTTCTTTTTTCTTTTCTCCCTGAAATTCTGCAAGCAAGCAAGTTTAGCAAGCAAGAAAAAAAAACTTGCAAGGAGATGGGCGAGAAAAAAAAGAAAGGCCGGAAGAAGAGAGCTGATTATCATGGCATTCCTTCTGGAGATGTGACGTTGCTTCTGACTCAGTTCAACATTCTTTCTCCAGCTTTTATGTCTTTTATTTTTCTTTCTCTCTCTCTCTCTCTCTCTCTCTCTCTCTCTCTCTCTCTCTCTCTCTCTCTCTCTCTCTGTTGGTGTTCAGGAGCCATATAAAACAGGATTAGCCCAAAGGGGGGTGTGGGACTAAGAGAAGCTGCATTTAGTAGAATCTTTAAGAAATGGAGGGAAGCTGAATCGAGCTCTTCTATGAAGGGATTCATGGAAATTTGAAAAATGTAGTGGTTATGTATGACTGATGTATTTATTAAATGTATCCTAACCAGACCACCACTCTGTCATGAACCCTCAAAGAACACATATAATATCTGTCTGCAGTCTTTAAATACATTTGTTTGTTTACATTGTAGGTGCTTTATAATGGAGGACAGAGGATACCTGGTCGCCCACCCTACTCTAATTGACCCTAAAGGCCACGCCCCCGCAGAGCAACAGCACATCACACACAAGGTAAAGGGATCCTGCTGAATGACAACAAACTTCCTTCTTGTTTTTTCATTATTCTGTACATTTTTGTCTCTAATTTACCATTTTTGTCTCCTTGTCTTTTTCATGGCAGGAGCCGCTGGTGGCAAATGACATCCTGAATCATCCCAACTTTGTCAAGAAAAACCTGTGTAACAGCTTCAGTGACCGCACAGTGCAGCGCTTCTATAAGTTCAACACCAGCATAATGGTGAGTGTGAAGAAACCCGATACATAACATGCTGTGTGAATGACTGCACTCAAAACAAAGTAGAACAGCGACACTCATTAGCAAGACGGTCACACACAAACACACACTCCTTTCTAGAGACTATGAAATATTTGAAAGGGTAACACTGCCTCCTTGTGGTGGACCAGGGTGTTGCAGCGTAGACATGTTCCTGTTTACTTTTAAGTGTTATTGAGTTAGACTCATCGAACCATTTTAAACTTCTCTTACCAACTTCAAGATGAAGAAATAGTAGACTGAAAAAGTGTAAAAAAAACAAAACAATTGTAAGTATTTTTTTTGTACATTTAAAAAAAAAAATGTTTTATTATTATTTATTTAAATTGTACTGCGTTCATTTTTTGTTTGCAATCTTTGCTCTTTGCTGCTGTAACAATGTAAATTTCCCCGTTGTGGGATAAATAAAGTATTATCTTTATTAGCTGAATGTCCTTTATAGTACTGATAACTGGTTAAGTTGTATATTCTCCTCTCTCTCGCCTCTTTTTAATTATAATTAATCTTTGTGAGGAGTTCTTACTTTCTCTTTTTTATATTAAAATTTTAGGATTATTTTATTTTATTTAGAAGTATTTGTTTCTAAGACAGGAAGCAGCACAACATCATTGAGACAGCATATCATCTAGAATAAATTAATAAAAATAAATTATAATTTGACTGACTAGAGTCCAGTGAATTGATGTGAAGTTCTATAAACTTGTTACCGATACCCAGTGTTATAATGTGTTTATGATGTGTCTCTTTCTCAGGGGGACCTCACTAACCTTGTCCATGGTAGCCATTGCTCCAAGTATCGTCTGACCCGAATCCCCGGCACCAACGCCTTCGCTGGTATAGTCAACGAGACGTGTGACTCTCTGGCGTTTTGCGCCTGCAGCACCGTGGACCGGCTCTGTCTCAACTGCCACAGGTATCTCTTCCTTACCTCACACACTCCTGAGAGAGCAACTGGTTGAGCTGTTAAAACACTGAGGAGGACGCACACACAAGATGATGCTCCTGCTGTAGATTATTAAAGAAATATTTAGTATTTGGCGTGTTGGTTCAACAAGATCACACGAAGAACCTTCTGTTTTTATTCATTATCCACATCTCATCGTACAATTCTGCACAAGGGTCAAGGGTCATAGTTTAAACATCGCATACTGTACGTGCATGTGTAAAAGGTAAATGTCAGTTCACTTTAATGAGATTGTTTGTCACTGAATACTGTTTTTCAGAATGGAGCAGAATGAATGTGAGTGTCCATGTGAGTGCCCCCTGGAGGTCAACGAGTGTACTGGCAACCTCACCAATGCTGAGAACAGGTCAGTGTGAAAAAACATGTCTGAACTCCCCTTACTTAAAGATTACAGTGAAAGTTACTTAGCATTACCTATAACCTGTCGAGTATATCGCATTAAGTAATGGGGATGTGTAAGTGGAAATGTTGACTCAATATAGTATGAAGAATATTGTTTCTTTTAAGATGATGCTTGACTGATTTGGCATGGAAATTGTCAAGAAGCAATACATTTACATAAATTCCTGTACACACACAAAAAAAAGTTTTTTTCCCCTTAAGATTACCCTCCTACACCAGCTCTGTGTTCTTAATTAACATATTATTTTGCACGTCTGATTCAGTGTTTGATGAAACTAATACAAAAGTGAATTTCTTCAGTTATTCCGCATGACGCGTTTCTTCTACAAATGCTCCTACTCTCTGTTATTGTTTCCTCTGTGCTCCTGCAGACACGTTGGGAGCTGAGTAAATGTTTGTGGGTGTTTCCTCACTTCTTTCTCTTTCTCTACCTCTCTTGTTTGACTCATCTCCTTTCATCAACCGTCATCCGGCTTCGACAGCGCACCAGTGTTTAAAACGCTCGTTCTTTCTTTGTTCTGGGAAGACGTGCAATTATCATTTTCCACTGTCAGATTTTTCTTTGTGTTTCGTGTCAAGCATCGATGCTGTTTGTCCTTTAAGCGCCGATTAGCATAAAATTAGCTTGCTGAAGTTATGACTTTGATGGTTCATGCTTCGGTTTATTTTATTATTTATTCTAAGTGTACTGCATTTGTAATCTAGCCGTGCTTCATTCTAGGATCTGAATGGATGCAGTCAGATAAATGTATTTTGTATAACATATGCACGGTATCATCACCTTTTATGTTTTATTGTGTTGCAGGAACCCGAGTTGTGAGGTGCACCAGGAGCCGGTCAGTCTGAATGTGATCGATCCCAGTCTGCATGACACCCTGCCCCAGTGTATCAACACTCGCTGCAGCCAAAGATACACCAGCAGGTATGCACGCTTTACTGCACATGAGCACACTGCATGTGTTATGAAGACACCGTTGTTTGTATAAAGTGAATACAAATACATTTACAGAGAAATACACCACACAACACCTACACTAGCAGACCCCTATGAGCCATTAGGACCCTTGGGGAGCATCTTATAGACCTCAATACCTCAGAGATGCAATATTTCACTTTTCTTTTTCACTTATTATTCATATTTCTTATTCATCTTTTGTTTGTATTCTTATTTATTTCTTGTATTTTTCTTCTTTCTCTTTTACTTACTACCTCAGGGATAAATTATATCAGATTCTCTTCTTGATAGAGACTTGTTCTTAAAGTGTTATGTTCACTAATAATAGCCAACATATTATTTAAATGTAAACTTATCAATCTATGCACACTGCAAATGTTACCTCATGTAAATTCACCCATCTGTCACATAATTAAATACCCTATTTTTATGTCTATTTCAGCATGTTTGCACTACTGTCTCATTCGCCCTTGTACATGTTGGTCTTTGCTTAGTTTGTGTTTATTGTTGATTTAGTTATACTTTTGTACATAGAGAGCACAGTTCACCAAAGTTAAACTCCATGTGTGTGTGTGTGTGTGTGTGTGTGCCAGTACCTGGCCAAAAAAAAGCTGATTCTGATTCAACTAAGAGGATGTATTTGGGTTATATATTAGCAACAGCACACTGCCCTCTAGTGGTAATAAATAGGTAGTTTGAAAAGTGACCTTTAAATGATTCACTTTAATCATTTTGTAAATAAAGAAAATGTTCCTTTTGAATAGTTTCAGTTAAAGTATCCCTTTTGTTTCTGGGAGATTATTTATCTCTTCAGAAATACCTCCTTACTTCTTTTCATGTTTGCTTATTGTGACCTCTCTGTTCTGCTCTGTGTCGCAGTGACTGTTTCGGCGTGCTGGACTGTGAGTGGTGCATGGTGGACAGTGATGGTAAGACTCACCTGGACAAGCCTTACTGTGCCCTGCAGAAGGAGTGTTTCGGGGGCATCGTGGGTGCAAAGAGTCCCTATGCCGACGGCCTGGGACTGCTAGGTGAGTGAAATGCGGAGAAGAATCGAGAGTATAAATTGATTAGATAGAGATTTTTTTAATTTTTTTTTTTTTTTTACATATTTCAACATTGTCTGTTTCCTTTCTTTAACTTCAGGTGAAAAGTCGAAGCTTTACAGAGTCTTGCTTTGACAGTTATGAAATTTGTTTCCCCTGATGTACTGTTGTAGTAACTTGTCAGGCTGCAGGCTGAAGACAGAAAAAGGTCAAATTGTATCCAAGGCTTCTGGGAGAGTAGAAGTATGAGGGTTTTTTTTTTTTTAGGTCAGGGAAAAAAGCAATACTTCAGACGAACTGTTATTTTCATCTTTGGTTTTGTTATCACTATTTCAAAAGGAGAACTGGCCGCCTTCCTGCAGTTGAATAATTCATCTTTGGCATTCAACACTGATAGAGAGAGAATAAGATCGCAGTAGAAAATATCTTGGCTGTGTCGGTGTGATTTAGGATCTGAGCCCGAGCTGTTTCATATCGGCTTGTTCTCACTTCTGATAACATCTGAGATCCTTTAACGTCTTACAACAACACCCAACCTATTATTTTCCTTCTTTTGCTCCTCCTCTCTCTCTCTTTCCCCTACAGATGAAGAGGTGGCTTCTCTGAACATGATCAAGAGCGCACCTGTGGGTCCGGTTGCCGGGGGCATTATGGGATGCATCATGGTGCTGGTGCTGGCTGTGTATGCGTACAGACATCAGATCCACAGACGCTCACACCAGCACATGTCACCGCTGGCAGCACAGGGTAAGACTGAGGGATACACTCAATCTTCTAAAACATGTTTAAGTGAAATTGTTTGAGTTATGAAATTAAAGATTGAGTGAAGTTCAAGAAGACCATGAACATAAAAACCCACAGCATGATGGTCGACATTTAATGTGGAGTTTTCCGCAACCACTGAAACATGCCTGGAAAAGCAGCTGCTTGCATGAATCTTCACATTTCCCATCACATACTGGCATTTCTGTTGATATGGAAGTTTAAAAGCATGAGGCAAGTGCTGCTGGAGCTCAACAGCTGACATTAGCGTCACACCACCACAGCAGCTGCAGCAGCAGAGATTTGTGTAATTACTCAGCGCTATTGACAAAAACCATCGCACCAGATTACTACCTCATTAAAACTTTTGAGTCCAAGTCACTTCCAGGCTCATGGTTTGGTAAACAACTTGGGATAGATGGCAGACAGTGTGGCTACATTAGTACCAAGGCATTAGGCGGAGGAATTAGCTCGTATAGTTGCTGTGTTTGTCTTTGTGTGCGTGCGTGCGTGCGTGCGTGCGTGCGTGCGTGCGTGCGTGTAAATGTACCAGCGACACACACACATGGTTCAAACAAACATAGTCAGAGGCAAATGTAGGGTTTCTATACTTTTATATACAGTATTGAAAAACATTTCTTCTTTCAGGCTTCGATCTAAATGAATTAATTATAGACAAAAAACACTCTCAACTCACTTTCAACAAAAACTACTGGGTGCTGAATCCCAACAAAATATTTCAATAAGAAAAACAATAAGGACAGCACTCCAAATTTATATTTTCACACGCTGAGGAGGCATGAGGAAACGTTTTTCGTGGCAATTAAAATATCAAATTTGGAGTGTTGTCCTTCTCGTTTTTCTATCTAAATGAACACAGGTCATTATGTGGCCCCAAAAAAATCAACTTCGTCCAAGGATATTCGGCTTTGAAATAAAAAATTCTGTTCACGTTGTATTTCTGCCCTTCATGCTTGTAATTTAAAAACAATTTTTCAATAGTTGCATGTATCTCACCTTGGCTTTCTTCTCGTCTTCTTCCCCCGTTACCTTCATGCTGCTCCAGAAATGTCGGTGAGGATGTCCAACCTGGACAACGAAAGAGATGAGCGGGATGAAGACAGCCACGAGGACAGAGGAATAAGTATGTACAGTTAAAGATGATGTTGTGTATCGACAACATGCTTAATGCAGATTATGAAACAGAAAAATGACCCCTGTGTGTGTGTTCTGTCCCCCTTCAGTCAGTAACACTCGGTTCATCGCTGCCGTGATCGAGCGGCACACTCACACTCCTGAACGGAGGCGGAGGTACTGGGGACGATCTGGGACGGAGAGTGACCACGGTAAGACAGATGACTTATCTCTCACAGTTCTATACAGAACATAGATTGTTATTGGTGGACGAGTTGTTGGCTCTGTATTATATCATACAGTGTATCAGCTTTGAAGGAAAAAGGAACTGAGTGGGTTGTATCTGAAATGTCTGAAATGCTGCGTCAAAGCAAATGATTTGTGCACTTCCTGTTGTGGTATGCACAGTTCAACCTTTCTTTTTTTCTTTTTTCTTTATTATAGGAACACCCAATAGACAAACAAAAACACAAGAGGTACACATCACCTCTCCATAAAGCCAGGACAAAACAAAACACAGTAAAACAAACAAAATAAATAAAACAAAACAAAAACCAACAAAAAATTAAAATTAAAAAAGCAAAAAAGCAAGACCCTTCCCGCCTCCGTCAACCGTCAAACCAGTTCCTGCCCTCCCCCATCCCTCCCCAATCTTTATAAATGGAAGATAATAAAGATAGTAAACAGAAGGAAGAGTCAGTAACTCAACAGATCAGCGAACATTTGTAACCGAACAGGTTTCATCTAACCGTAAACCAGGAAAGATAAAACTAAGAATTGTATTAAAATAAGCGGGGGGAAAAGAAAAAGAGAATCACTTGCCAGATCAAGAAACAAGACATTTTGCAAACGCTAAGTAAAACTTGAGTGATGATGGCATATATTTACATGCATATATACAGTCATATATACAGTCATATATATATATATATACACACACACATACGTACACATTCATACACATTTCTATTGTTTTAATTAATTATTTTGTTGTTGTTTATTGCTAAAGTGATATTAAATAATTCAGTTCAACCTTTCTAATCTAACGGACTGTGCTTTAAAATACTCACAGGCCAAGCCGAAGTCATGGTTGTTAAGTTGTTAAGTTCTCCATATTTCAAGAGGAGGCATCAATAATGTCGTCTGGCACGCTTCTTTTTTTAACAGCAAATATTTAATGGTAGTAATTGTTGACCAGTTCAATAACGACTTGATCTCTTCTCAACCTTTAAATCCATCATAGTCAGCTTTCTGTTGAATGCATTCTTGCATCCTCGACCAATATTTTGTCTGTGCGTCATGTTGCTCTTACACAACAGTCTAAAATAATCTGTTTCCTGTAAAATGAATCATCCATCAGTTACAAAACCGGCCCATCCTGCTCTGACTTAAATGTCAGTTTTAGACACACAAGTTCTCCTGACATTTGTTTTAAAAAAAGCAAACTACATAACTCAAAACTTGCTCAGGTAGAGGGGGGTGCTGGTTTAGCTCAGTTGGTAGAGGCTGCAGTCCTTGATGGACTTGCCGCAGGCTCGGCTCACAGCCTCGGCCCTTTGATACAATCCTTACCCCACTCTCTCTCCATCTTAAGCCGTCCTGTCGATAAAAGATGAAACAAATTGCCCAGTTAAGAGTCACAGGTGGACTTGGCTTGCTGTTACAGACGGGATGAGGGAGTTCACACACTCACAGACATCCAGAGCAAAGCTGTTCCTAATTTCTGTTGAATGGAACAGTTTTAGGTTTCCATTCAGGAGGCTCTATGAACTCGACCAGCTGAGGAGGAGACCTGTTACTTCAGATGAAGCACAATGAAAAAGTGATGCATGCAAAAAAGCCAAAGGAACCCCTTTAGATCTCTTAGGAAAAGCTTAAAGTTGTTGGGAAAAGTGTGGGTTATATTTCCCTCAACCTTTTGCTGCAGGTTTCAAAAAAATGTCAGAAAGGAAATAAAATTTCCTTTGTCATAAATCAGGACTCTTTACTTCACTCAACACAAAAACGCATCAAGGTCAGCTGTAAGTATACTATTTAAATTCAAATAAGGGGCTTACTGTTGATCTTTTTTTAAAATCACACTCTGAAATCCTCGCTTACCTCTCTGTTGTTTGGCCGTTGTTTTTTCTTCATCACGTCACATCACGGCTCAGATCCCCGTTTCCTCTCGTCTCCAGCTTCCGGGAGAGTTTTGCTCATGTTTTTTTTCTGTAACTGATTGTACAACTTGTAAGTCTGACACTCGATAAAGCGTGGACGGACAGTTTCACCCACGCTGCGGGGCTCTTCACCACCTACATATGGCATCACTCCACTTCCTGGCATACGAGAGTCTCCAAACCCTTGTTGCATAACTGATGATGGCAGAGAGAAGCGAGGATGATGAAGAGGGAGAGAGAGTGTGGGCTAAAGTGAAACAAAGACATTGAGCGAGAGCTTGTCAGACGCATGTGTTGTACAGTATCGCTGTTAAACCGGAGAGGAGGAAAAAAGCCAGGACATGAAGCTGCGGGGAAAATAATATTTGTTCAACAACACCAAATGTAGTCTCCTGAGACTCTAATGTTGTGTTCTTTGCATATTCCGACTGATTTGTTACCGTCCTAAATATCAACTAACTTGTGACTGCTATGCATGAAAATAAGACATAAACAGTTTTCTTTAAAAGGTTTTCTAATTAGCTTAAGAGACAGCATATAGGGGGGGGGGGGGGGTTAGTCCGTCAGCCCGTCAGCGATTTAATACAAATTCGTCATTAAGATGATGCTTCAAAGTTGTTGCTTCTTTCTGCTCAGTCAAAGGTGCCCTCCTCTCCCACAGTCCACTCACTCATACTGCTGAAGGATATGATGAAACAAACACACACACACACACACACACACACACACACACACACACACAATAACTACATGCAGATCAGTGAAGGATGAGAGCATTTCATCTGTTGAGTGACGCACACATCCAGCAGTTCCTGTCGAGCTGTAATATTAGCTTACAGGCTATCACTTCACGTAGGTGTGAGCAACCCAGTTATAATGAAATATACTGTATGGTTGTTATATAAGCATCAACTTAAGTATACACACACTGCATAATTATAAGAGAGGAAGGGGTAGATATTATACTGTTCATTTTGGTGCAACAAATGTAAAGAAAATCATTTTTTGAAGTAATTTCTGTATTGGTGCATTTAAGAGGTCACTTCCAGTTTGATGAACATTTTAAGTCACTTTCCAAAAAGAGAAAAATATACGTGAAGTTTGATACCACAAGTGCGTTAATGCTAATTCAGAAGCTACAGCTAGCAGTGCGCAACGTTAGCTGAGCTAGTTACCGCTATTTTGCAGTAACATTAAGATAGCACATTTGAACTTTTAACATTGTTGTAGAATAAAATACACATACAACACTCACTAAGTTTACAATTTTTAACTTGTGGATGGAGAAGGTTTTCTGGTTTATGTGCTAGGCTAAGCCATCCCAGCTGCTAGTGTTAGCGTACTCAAAGCACAAAAATAAGTGATATTGATCCTTTTGTCTTGCACTAAACAGAAGGCAATAAGGTATTGATTTATCTATTTCTATTAGATATAGTTGTTCACATGTCGATGAGTCTTTAAACTGCAGTAAACCGCCTACAACATGCTTCCAGAGTTTAACTTGTCCCATCCCTCCAACCCGCTCGAAGAGAAAGTCTCTTGAGTGATTTTAAATCTCAAAGGCACAATTATCATTAGTCAGAAATGTGGAGTGTATCTGCAGGAGGTAAAAAACATGGTATTCAAACCACGTCTCTCCACGTCTCTTAACATTTAGAAGATTTTGTTTTCCTCACCTTGTGCAGCTAAAGAATCCTCAAAAAGGACACGGTTAGCTTAAAGTGTGGCTCTGGCTGTGAGTCATAGAGGGATAAACCGTGCTGAAGTTTACATCGTCCATGTCTGGAAATTCTTTGAAGTCTTCACTCCTTCCTTCCTCTCCTTAAATCCATCCTTTTCCTTTTCCTCTTCCTGGCTCTCTCTCTCTTGGCTCTTTTTTTATTTAGTAAGCATTTGCGATTTGTAAAGCCTGATAATGACAACAGATGTCCAATAAGACGTCTGCATGGTAGAATAAACGTTTAGAGCCACCAGAGGAATCTTGACATTTTCACTTGATGGTTTAGATTATTGAATTATTAATATACACCACATGGAAGATTTCTCGGTGATGCAATTGACACAAGGCCACAAACATACTTTAACCTACCAATGTTTCCCTAAATGCTCCAGACATATAACTCCCATCTGACAATGATACAATGCTAATGAATCATTTTGCTTTGTAGGTTTAGGGTTAATACTTAAAGGCTTAATATGCAATTTTTCACACTTAAATGTAATAGAAATCAAGAATATCCTCTGAAAATAACTCTGTGAGTCATGACTGTCTACAATGGGTGTAACACCCGAGTCCCACTGTCTGTGATGTTTTCAGAGTTTTCAGAGTCCTATCTTCAGTTTGTTTACATCGCCCGGACGGCCGGCTGACTCCTCCCCTCGTGTATAAAAGTTGTTTAATTGAGGGACTAGAGAAAAGAAGAATAACATACTGTACTCACTGCTTAACTGTGTTTCTAGATCACGCTCATTTCAGGTCAATTTACGAGCATAATAAAGATCGCTAGCATTAGCATGCTAACACAACAATGCAGCGCGAGTTGTTTCAACATCGCTGGATCAAAAAAATCACATATAAAGCCTTTAATCTTCCAAAACTGTGGTGACTTTCTAGTAGATATATTATTGACACACTGTGGCTTACACTAGTTATTTTTGCTTCACTGTAATAACAGACCCATCATGCAGCATGTTGCTTATTTCACTTTACAACCTGAAAAAATGCACTAAAGGAATTCACTTGAATGTCAAGATAACCTCCCCAATATTTTCAGATTTGTCAGACTGTCTGTTTCAGTTGGATTTCATTACCCTGGAGGTGAAGAAACTCACTTACATTGTGCAATTTTAATTTTTTTTTAATCAAGTGAGAAAATTAAGCAAACTGAATAAATCCAGAGCCTACGAGGGCTTCATGAAAATGTGCAGCTGGAAGCCTTGAGCAAGCCGAGCACATGATTAATAATCTCAACCGTCACAAACTTGGAGGGTAAATTTGACTGAATCAGTTGATTGTTATACAATATTTGTCTCCATGTTCAATCTGTTATTTACTTTCCCTGACCTCGTAATCGCATTGTTTTCAAAAGGCAGCGGTACTGCACTCCCACTGATCCACTTACCGATGTATCCTAACCAGCATGTTGGCTTATGTTCTAACGTCCTCGGGCTAAACGTATGTGCAAGATGAGTAGGAGAGAGGTCATAAATATGTATGCTTCTTTTTTTTCCAGATTGTATGAGAAAGCTGAACACAGGGAGCCAAAAAAAAAAAAAGAACACCTAGTGGGGATATTTAGTTGTCAAAGCGCCATCAGAGAGCGTGTTGAGCTTTCAGAGACATTGTGTGTTACCATGTAATCACTTCTGTGTTCAATGTCTTTGACTTGAGGGCGTCATCTGCTGACTCGTTTCTTTCATGGTGTCTTTCCATTTCTTTTCTTTGCTCTGCGTCTTAACAATCACATGTACACCAACTCTTACCACAATCTCCAATTTTGGGATCAATTAAGTAATTCTATTCTATTATTCTATTCTCGAGTTCCATAGACTGTATTTTACATTTGACTGAAACTCCCAAACCAGTGGATCAGTTTTTGCACATTTTTTACTTTTTATTAATTCATTTACCGGTAAACTTTTTCTTGAGTGATGTTGAAAAAGGGTAACGCAAAAAATATAAATGTTTGCTTTTCATCTTTTCAATACAGTCACAAATCACACAGCTGTGGCAACAAATCTCTTTAAAATGTACAGTCACTGACAGTGCTGTGGTGAAGTGCCAGATCAAAACAGAAGGTATCTCATGACTCTAAATATAGAGCTGGTCTGGGGTCACACTCTTTGTGATAATGTAGGAGAAATCCTTCCTGCATATCATCCCACGTGCTCTTTTGTGAAGTGTCTAGAGATTACAGTTGTTATGAATTGGTGCTATGCAAATAATTACTAAATGATTGATTGATGATATTTGGAGAGAAAGTAAGTCAAGTATCGAGGCAGAAAAAAGTCGAGATAGAGAAGAGACGAGAGTGAATAAAGAATCATAAAGTTTACAGTGGGTTGTATTGTTTTGCACATTGATTCTCTAAAAACTTATTTAGGTTGTTCTTTTAGATAAAACTGTCCAATCAGTGGTGCCAGGTGGCCTAGCGGTTTGTTTGTTGGGAGGCTGTAGTCCTCCCAATTTGATGGCCCGAGTCTGAATCTGACCTGTTGCTCCTTTCCTACATGTCTTTTCCACGTTCTCTCTGTGATTTCCGACTCCGGCCGCTGTCCTGTCTCTACAAAAAGGCCAAATAAAACGAGGCAAATCATAGTTTTGTGTATTTTCTGTAGTGTTTCATGTAAACTTTAAGGGTAAGTAATGTGGCCTCTTTAAAATGAGGATAAGGTCTTGTTTTTCTTATTTAGTTGTTGTTATGTGGTTTAGATTTCCACATGTATAGACTCAATAAATGAACATTAAAGTAATCCAAACCTTTGCATGTTTTTGTGTGTGTCTCCAGGCTACAGCACCATGAGTCCGCAGGAGGACAGCGAGAATCCGCCCGGGAACAACGACCCGCTCTCGGCGGGTGTCGACGTCGGTAACCACGACGACGACCTGGACCTTGACACGCCTCCGCAGACGGCGGCATTGCTCAGCCACAAGTTTCACCCTTACCGCCACACGCACACGCATCACCACCCGCTGCACACGCACACGCACCACCTGCAGGCCGCGGTCACCGTGCACAGCGTGGACGCAGAGTGCTGATCTTCAGTGCCACATGAACTCTGTTTGTTTTTTTTTTTACTACTAAAGAGTATTTTTTTTAAATATGTTTGTGCACAGACGAAGTGTCAGGATGGACACTCAGAGGAAGAGACTGTAAACCCCAGAGTGTCACTGAGCTGCTGGGACTTCTGTCAAGCATGGACGGTTAGCTTGATGGCTATTAGCCTTATGGTCTCATTGTGCCAACACCTCCATCTCAACCCTTTTTTTTTTTTTTTTTGACAGCCTGGCATGTGTACTAACTTTTCATACATGACATGACCAGATCTGGGTCAGTGAACCCAATCAAATGGGATTTTTAGTTTTTTTTTTACTGCCCGAGAACAACTTCTGGGAGCAAGCTACTACAATGTTTGGACACAACTGGAAGCTGTGTGTGGGGGCAAACGTGTCCATTTCCACATGGAGGCCAGAGGATAATCACATTAACATGCCTCCCCACCTGTGGCAACAACAGGATGGGGAACAAAGCACTCATAGATTCATCTTGGATCAGGATGACCAGGATGTGTCATGTGGAATTCTAACATGGATTCATCTGCAGCTTTTACTCTCCTCGCTTTGGACTCTCCTCACTTGACTTTTCTCTAACAGTTGCTGCTGGCCTTGAAAAGATGTGATTTTTGGGAATACATTTGGACATTTTCATGGAGTATCTGTGTGCTTCAAAGTACAAAAGAATTCACATAAATATAGGAAGAAACACTTTGAAGAGGAAAAGATTATTTTTCTACTATTTATTAAAGAAGGTAGATTTTCAGGACAGATGAGCGAGCAGTTAACACAACTAGAGAGTAGTCAGGAGAAAAGATGCATAACAAACCACTTCCTGTCAGAGTTAGGGGCTTAATTATTTTCTTTTTTTTGTTTCCCTCAGAATACACGACTGGTTGTGTTTGTTTTGAATTTTGAAGAAAATCAGAGCAAGAGTCAATTTTCCTCCCCGTCATCACACCAAGAAACTGCTGTGCATACTAAGCAGCGTGTCTGATCCATCTATTACACTCTTCATTTTCAATTACAAGAAACGCATTCTAAGAAATCCCTTTTCAAACAGAAGTTACCATTTATTCTAGAAACAGAAAAATGTTTTTTGGGGAGAGCAGCGACTGAAAATCTGAGTCAAATCATGACTTTCCAATGGGGGAGGAAAAAAAAAAAAAGTGAGAGATGTTGTTTTCTCTTGCCTCTGAGGCCGGGCTGATACTGTATGTATGTTGAGATTGTGTGAAGAAAATCAAGCTGAATTTTCCAGGAATGCCAGCGATGGAGTCTCTTTCTCATCCATGAGAGTGAGAGAATAAAGAGGGAGAGATGCTGCTGCTGTTTGTTGTACAGAGGTTACACCCATCTGTCGGCTCCTCTGTGGTTAACCACTCAAAATATCTTTTTCTACAAGACTCTGGTTTATCTGTTACGTGTATAAATGTATGTGAAAATATGTGTGTGTGAGAAAGTGTGTGTGTGTGTGTGGATGAATGATTGTCCACCTGGAACATTTTCATTGAATGCATAATTGTGATTTTTTTTTTCATGATAGTATTAGAGAATTATAGGTAAAATTATAATGATTGAGAAATCCACTTATTTTTATGAAGAGTCATATGACCCCCCCCCCGCTTGTGTGCTTTATGGGTATGATTGTTGAGCTGGTCACATGACATCATTTCTTTCTGGATGCTTCAAATGTCTATTGTTTTTCAGAGATTCATTATGAAGTGTAAATACAGAATCAAAAAATAGCTATTAATGTCCTTGTACCCTCCTTATTTTTTTAAGTGTAAAGACATGATGTATGTCTCGAAATGAGGCTCAGATATTCGGGTTTGATATATTTGAAATTGTCTGTTCATGGTGTCTGATTATATCTTTTTGATGCCTTGGATTTTATTTTAGATTTTTTTAGGTCCATATTGGATGGAAGTAAGTACTTGGGGGGAGGGGGGATACCTGTACACACTTTTTATGTTTGAGAGAATTCTAGTTTTTAGAAGTTGTATCATGTGTCCTCAGAATGTTAAACAAAAGCATTTCTCTCCACGTCTTATTCAGATCTGAAAGTGAAAAAAACGGTACTCCCATCTTTTTACAGAGTGATGACCGAAACAGCCTTGAAGTGGATTCTAGGTTTACAGTGATCCTCTGCACGTCTGGCTTTGGTTCTGTTCCTACTTTTGACTGCTTACCAAATTCATTATCAGTCGTTTTCAATGTTTTAGTCGCTCAAGTAGAATATTTACACTTTACACAACAAAAAGTGAGCTCAGCAAACTTCTCAATGGATGTGTAGGTGTTTAAATATTCCACTTAAGACTTCATTTACAGAAAGATTTATCAACAGTGATACCATGAGACCTTTTAATGTTGGATTTCTGACAAAAAAAAAAACAGATTGCCTTCACTTGACCCTCCATAAAACATTTGAAGAAATCCATTTTTGCCACTTCATTGCTACACATTTTGAGTTCAGTTGCATTAGAGCAGTCTTGGAGCATTTCAGGGCGATCTTCAGATCAAATGCAGTCCTGTATGTGTGTATGAGTGTGTGTGTAGGAATGCTTGTGTGTGCATGTGTGTGTGTTGGAGATCATTTAGTTCTCCAAGTCGACTTTTATCATTGACATTTCTGGAGAAGTTTCAAACAGTATTTACAGGCTGTGCTAAACAAGTATGTTAAGTGTGTACATACACTCTGAATCATAATGACTAATGTACTGAAGGAATGTGTGCATCACCCCTCCCCCTCATGTATCATATAAAGTTATCAAATTGAGATTTATTGCAATGTGAATGTGATAAAGTCCATTTTACACTTAATCTGTCTGCTCTCTTTTCATTTCTGTGACAGTTTCAAGGTCAAGATGCACTTAGCCGTTTAGCTCAGCAAAGTGCTGTTTAGCTGCTCATTGGGGTTTAAATTAAAAAGTCTGCGCTCTCCTCTAATGTCCACAGGGGGTTTACCATTAGTGTTAAAAGCTAACAGCACTCAGTTACACCTGTGCTGTGTCCTGTTGTGATGAGACTAAACAAACTGCTCTGAAATACATCTTTTTATGTCAATCTACAAGGCCTGCATGTTTATTTCCATTTGCTTTTAATAACTTATGGCACATCAACTTGGAAGCGATTAGCGATTTCATCATAAACCCTTTTCAAACAAACGGAAATCTCCTGAAAAACTCTGGAGATTGGCTACCCGGAGGTTCTTTAGGCTATGTGTGAACCCAAACAGACGCATTTCTCGCACGGATTTTACCCAGAGTTTCTCCTCCAGACCTCTAGTATTTTATCCGCAGAAAATCAGAGTGAGTTGATGTCTGAAGGCTGCAGCATATACTCCGGAGATTTCAACTGGAGCCAATAGAAAGAGAATGACGTTTATATACAGTGACTGTCTAAAGTGTCTGCACGCGACCTCTACGATCTCCGTGCTCTAATTAAACGTCTGCATTCTGTTTTCTGTTGGTCAGTTTGTTGTTCTCCTCTCTTTTCTGGATGTTGTCATTCCATTGGATTACACATAGCATTGATATAAAGACAAATATTCTCATTATAACGTCGTGTAGCGGACTCTGTTGCTTCAGCGCTACTTCCGCGTTGTTTATTTACGTCACGTCTTACCTCAGGAAATCCCCCGCTGTGAGGAGCATATGTGAACGACTAGGTCGGGAGAATCTCCAGAGAAGTCCTCCTGTTATTATCTAGATATTATCGGGAGTGCATATGTGAAAACGGCTATATAGATGAAATTGCTAAGACGCTAACCAAAAACTTAAAACCATAGGGAAACTGTTTCTGGAAACTTGATGGATTCAGTATTCACTTCACTTTCACTGATGAGAAAAACATTAAGTCTTTAGTAGTTACTTTTAGTTTGTTCACAAGCTAACAGAAGCTAGCTGCAGGCTAGTAACTCATTATGTCTGCTGTTTGTCGCTGGACAGAAAGCATTCAGCCCAGAAATCAGGTGATTGTTGACCTCAAGCTAATAGAATGAAAATCACAAAGTTTAAATGTTGTTTCATTGGAGAATCCTGTTTTGTTTTCACTCGCATGCCAAGTGAATTATTACAGCGTCATTCCAGTAATTTTCTAAAACTTCAAACCTATCTACTAAATAAGGCAACAACTACCAAGGTTAAGGGATCATAGATATTCTGAAAACTAAGTCTTTATAAGTTTTAAAGAAGAAATTAGAAGTTGATGCCGGAAACTTAACGCAATTATGTAATTATAAATATATCTAAAAAAAGATGTCTTTTACTTGACTGTAAGAAAAACAATTAGTCAGCACTCCAAAACTGTATTTTAATTTCCTCACAAACGTTTCCAGCAGACGCTCTTCTTCAGTGTGTAACAGGCAATTTTCTCAAACAATCACAGGTGGGACTAATTTATACTTGTCCAAAATAGGTACTAGTCCATTGACTGTACAACCTTTTCCCCGTACTGTTGGAGGTCGTGAACAGGTCAAGTGTGTGTGTGTGTGTGTGTCCAGTATTCACGTGCACTGACAGCAGAGTAATAATGTCTGATGCCTCTCTGGCCTGTATTATTGTTTCTGGTTCATTCAGGGACATTTAGGACACTTGGACTCCAAAAACGCTGCTCTTCAGAGGCTTTTTGGCCTTGTTTGGAAAGCAGGATTGTTAATATCACAGCTGGTATGTCAGACTTAGATAATAGTGTGACCAGCAGCCATAGAGATTTTAACACAAGATCCACATATGTCAGTGAGCGTCATCTACCTTCTACAATTCACTTAGCAGACGCTTTTACCCAAAGCGACGTACATCAGAGAGTAAGTACAACACAAGCAGGGATCTAGAAAAAAAGGGAACAATGTCAGTAAGAGCAAACGATCAGCTTTGAGTCTGATTGGTCACACAGGTGCTGACAGGAAGTGACCAGAGGCAAAGCACAACATTGAGGGCAGTTCTTGAGAGCTCTAATCAGTATAGAAACCATCTTATAAGTCGTCGTTATCAAACAAAAACCATCATCATTACCATCATCATCAATAATATGGAGACCATCATCATTAAGTCAGTAGGTATTCATGAAAGAGCTGGGTCTTTAGCTTTTTCTTAAAGGTGCAGAGGGACTCTGCAGATCAAATGGAGTTTGGAGGTTCGCCCTTGAGTTCACACTTGAGTTTGAGAGAAAGCCTAGTTTGATGCTCTGTGAATAATGTTGCAAACAGCAAGATTTAAAAAAGGACATTTAAATTTAAAAACAGAAACAGCTGATCAAAGAGCTGTTCATGGCACAAAAGACCAACACAGTCAAATTTACAGAAAGAGACCAAAGCAACATGATTTAATTTCTTCGGAGGCCTCTATACAGCCCTCATGTATTTGGATGTTTTGTGAGGAAATACATTGTCAATCAAATCCCTTTTTTTAATCTTTAAAAAACCCCTTTGCAAAGTTCATTTTAAGCCGTTCAACCCTGTTTTAAGAAACATATCCTAACAGAGACACAGTCTGCTCTGAGCTCGACAGGAGGGTCTGTTATTTCAATGGGTGTGAATGAGCCTTAGGCCGTAGGTCATGCCATTTGCGGTTGGTGGAAGAATAGCTGTATCAGTTATTCATGAGGCCTTCCTGTCCATACAACGTTTCCTGCCAGGGGACAAAGGGAAAACAACCACAGATGGAGCGACAACATGGTGGAGA